AAGGAGTCTGCAGTTAGGGGTGAGATTCCAAATAACTGAATATAAAAACCGCACACATGAACCACTTTCTTCTGTTCCCTCGCTTCTCTATCTGCCGATACAAAGACCCGAAAGACCAAGAGAGGCAAGTAAGGGCCACCAGGAGCCAGGTCACCGAGTACCCAAAACTCGGGGCTCACAGGCACGTACCCCAGGCTCTTAACCGCTAGTCACTGTCACTCTGACCCAGACCTTCTTGGATCGCTGAGGCCTCTCAGGGGAGAAGGGGGAAGCGTCGACAGGCCGCCTGTGTGTGAAGGGAGGGTGGAGGGTGGAAGGCGGGGTGGCAGAGAACCCAGCAAGAGAAGTTTCCACCACGCTCTGGTCGGCTGCTGCCAAAATCCCCGGGCCCCTCCCCACCCGCACCGCCTTCCGTTGCCACCACAAGTTTGGTTTAACGAGAGCCTGGGACAAAAGCAAACGTTTTCTATAGACCCCGAAAACAAAGAGGAAAGAGACGCGCAAGGCCGCCGAGGAGCTGCTGCTAGCGTAATGGTGCCGGGCCGACAGCAGAGCATTAGAACTGCAAAAGCCGCGCAGGCGGGAGGAAGTGCGAGGCGGGAGGCGGGAGCGCGGGGAGAGCGGGCGGGGGAGGGGCGCTGCGCCGCGCCATGTTTCCGTGTCGCGTCTCCCCAGGCTACTACGGCGAAGGCCTCAACGCCATCATCGTCTTTGCCGCCTGCTTCCTCCCAGACAGCAGCTCTCCCGACTACCACTACATCATGGAGCACCTCTTCCTGTGAGCCCCCCGCCTGCCCCCCCCCCCCCCCCCCCCGCCCGCCGGGTAATCATCCTCCTCGCTGCAGCGCTGTGTGCACTCTCATTAGAGCAGGGAGGCTTTTCTCTGCGCACTCGCTCGGCTCCCGCTGGCAAAACAACGCCTTCCCTGGCCGGGCCCTGGGCCAGGACTGCTGGGGAGGGCGAGACGGGGGAGGGGGTGGTGAGGCAGAGCGAGGAGCGCAGGTCATCTCAGCCTCCGTATCTCCTCGGAACACGAAGGAGATGGGGAGGGTCCACACGTAGGGTGGCAAAGTACGAACCCGGTACCAGATCCTTTGTGGGGAGGGGGGAAAATTGCTGGGGTGGCTATGACCTACTCTCGTTCCCTGACCGAGGATAGAGTGGGGACGGAGGGGAGATGAGTGTCTGGTTTGGAGAGAGAGAGGACGACACCGAAAAGGCTCCCAAAACAGGTTTTGTCTCATCTGTCTTGCGAACGACCTCTTAAGGCTAGAAGCCTCATCCCAGGGGAGGCGGCCTTTCTACCCTCAGGAGACTTGAGTCCCCAGGATTCGGGCTTGATCGCACAGAGGGGGTGAGAGATGGGGGTGGCCGAGGCGCGGCTGTGCCTGGCCCAGAGCTTCGGAGCCCCATTTTCTCCTCTGCGATCTCTGCACACAACAGCAGGCAGCCTTTCCCGGCACCACGCGCCCAGCTGCAGGGCCCGGGAGCAGGTGTTCCTGCCCAGTCCGCCGGAGTGGCGGCTCTGCGCTCTCCCGTCCCAGCTGCGGGGTTGGGGAGTGGAAAGGGGGCACTTAAGGCAGTATAGAGGGAGGACTCACTGGAGCTCGAGAAGGGTCTTAAGGACTTAAATGGGGATACCCCCAGGTCGAGTGAGGCCCCTGGGGCCAGAAGGCATCGGGGATGACGCGCAGCCGGCCGGTCTGAAACAGCCCTGGGGGCCAGCAAACTCCGCACGGGGCGGCGCAAG